GTTTCAACCTGGTCGACCCATTTGAGTTAATTTGAAAGTTTTTTCATTTTAGAAGTGAATGAAATGAAAAATTGTCTGGGTCTTTAAGACACAACGTATTCAATGATTCAAGCACAACAAACCTATACAAAGCTGCCTAAAAATTGTTGGTATCAAAAAATTAATAAATTTAAATTAAAACAAAAATTTATATTTTGGTGTCTCTAGAGGTACTAACCTGAAACTATATATTAATTTAAAAATTTTTTTTAAATTTATGACCTGTTTATTTGAAAAATATTTAGTTTGTAGAAATTTGTTGGTTATTCATAAACTTTGATAGGTTTCATTAATTTTTATTGCAATCTACATAAAAAATATTGTAAAATTGTGAATTCACATATTTAATTTGAGAAAGTAGAACGGCGAAATAAAAATATTAAAAAACGGAAAATTGGCCACAAAAAAAAAGAAGTGGCGGATACGTGTACAATACTTTTTGGTGTAGTCACCAAAAAAACTTTGGTCCAAATCCGTGATATACCAACCTAGTCGTCTTTTAGTCAGTCCCAGGAATAATTAGTCCTTTGGAGGAATATACCTCTTCGGTTTTGGAAAAGTTAATTAATAATTTTAAAGGTTGACGATTATCAACTCTTCTATTCATATATTATGGTTTAAAGTATATCAAAATTTAATTTGAAAACTACAGAAAGCATCTAATATCACTCGTCTCGTCTATAGCCTAAGTAAAGTTTCAAGTAAATAAAAAATACCCTTTGGTACAAAATTGAGAAAAATAACAAACTTTGATAAATTAAATTAATATTAACTGCATTACTGTCAGTATTTACAGAACCAAGAAAATCTTACTTAAACTTCAGGCAAGAGCTTTGGCAACTCATAAACGTTTATCTACTAAATGTTGTATTTTGTTTGCTTAAGATTACGATAAGTTAAAAATATATCTCATATTGTTTTCAATGTTTGTTCCATTGGTGTAATCAAATTCACAGTAGGATTAGCGTTTTATGACATTCGGTGGGCTTTATGGAATAAGTTTTGAAAGGTTGAAGTAGTAAGTGAAATAAATAATATAAAAGTGATAAGTGAAATACCTCAAATAAATTTGAGATTCAGACTTTGGACAATGCGGACTTTTCAGTCCAATTTGACGTGTCGGTTGTCTCTTCAATGGACTCTTCATAATTTTTCTTACTCGTTCACATAGCTTATTTTCTTAATTATTTTTAGCACTGACTACACTGAATTTCTTAAATATCTTTTAGGTCCATTGATATTTTAAACTCGTCGTATCGACTAAAAAAAGACAACCACTTCGTAAAAGTAAAAATTCAATGATCAGATAATTGTGGAGGTCCCCCTTTGACACGCGACATAATTTTGTAAAACCGTAAAATAAAATTTGTTGAATCTCTTAAAACATAGATTAGTAAAAAACATCCAAATGTTATCAACCGCTATTAAAAAAAAAATATCCGATATATCTAACTAGAAAATTCGTTTAGATCAGAATTCGATTTTTTCTGTAAATGTATCTTCAAAGCCCTTGTAAAACTGGACAAACCATTTATTGTTTTGTTTATTAGCAGTGAGAGCATTGAAAATGTATGTTCCCATGTGTGAAGCATTTATTAGACCATCTAATATGATGATGATGCTGATGATGAAACTAGGACGCGGAGTTTGTGATTGAGACACTGAGGACTTATTGTCCTTCCGTTCGACACTGAGGACTTATTGTCCTTCCGTTCAGTGCAATTGAATCAATCTTGCTTCTCATAAGTATTAAGTCACTGACTGTTGCTGCTACAATTTCATTCCCTAGGTTTTCTTTCGTATGTTAGGTTTAATCTCCATTGAGCTGTTGCATCGCATTCGAAAATGATATGGGTGGCTGTTTCCTCCTCCTCATCGCATAAACTGCAGATGGGATCATCGTTATATATGCCATGTTGTTGCCAGTGACCAATTTATAGCCCTGTCACTCCTCTGAATCCTAGACTTGTCCAACTTTAGCAGTGAGCTCGCCAGCCATAGTGAGAGTTGATTCATCATAAGTTAAATGTGTCTACGCCACTAAAGTTTATCAATTTCTCCTATTGTTTTGTTTGGATCCATTCTGCGATGGAGGATTCTGTATTTGTTTTTGTTATCACAAGAATACGTTCGGGGCCTTTGCATGTCTTGCAGATCCTCCTCTGGCCAGTCTGTCTGCTTTTTCGTTACCAAAAATTCCTCTGTGCCCTGACATATCATCAGGTTGTTGTGTTTCCCCACGTTTTGGAAATTTTGGATGCATTTACTGGCTAAGTTTTATGCGATTTTTTTTACATAGTAATGCTTTAATAGCTGCTTGGCTATCCGATCTTATGAGGATTCTTTTGCCAATATAACCTCTTTCCAGGGCACAAGCACTGATGGCATGTATTTCTGCTTGAAATACCGAAGAGAACTTCCCTAGTGAGTTTGACTGCTCATATTTTGGACTTGTACGGAAAATGCCCGATCCGGTTCCTTTGTTTGTTTTGGAGCCATCTGTATACTATATCATTGTATCTGACACTCCCCAGAATTCTTCCTCTCCTCTATAGTCTGTCGAGACTGTATAGTATGTTGTAAAGAATGTTTCCGGGATCATATAGTCAGTACCTGTTTCAAATAATGTGTGCCCGAATCGTTTAGAGTTCCTATCCAATTTGATTATTTTTGTAGCCTAAATGAGCTTTTTCTAGCCTCTCCTTGTAGAAATGTTTCCAGTAGAGGTAGCAGTTTCTAGTTCACTTGTAGGCGTTGTACTCATTGACCCTGTGTTTGCTAATCTTTGTATGTTGCCTAGTGATTGAGTAGCTACTTTTTGTTGAGCTCTGGACTACCAGATTAATGATCCATAAGTTATTTTGTGTATTATTACATATTTATTAGATCGTCTAGTATAATTATGACCTGGTATAAATTCATTTATGCTTAAGTATTATAAGAATGAATTTCCGAATTAGCAGGGAAAAAATATTTGTCATTTGTGTTGTAGTGTCCTGAGGAAGGCCAAATATAGAGTCGAAAGCTCGGATTTATGTATAATACAATGTACTAATTCAAGGACTACATACCCAATAAATTCTCAAATCCAAAGTGTAACAAAAAGTTGGTCGACAATATAACATTGTATATGGAATTTATTTTCATTAAGCTAAGTCACACGCGAAAAGTTTATCTTGAAAATTGGTCGTGCTCAAAGTGCTTTGTCGGTTGGTTACGAAACAAATCTGATTTCAGAGCTTGAAAAGTTGAGGTCATCGAACAAGAGAGCTTGCTTAGACGGATGCACTTTTAATATTTTTCTCGCCCTTTTGTTTATTTTTTTTTATAATAGCCTTAAGATTAGCATCACATTTTATATTGGTATGAAATACGTGGTTCAAAATTTATATTTTCTTCTGTATTGGATTTTTTCCAATTGACATGTCCTGTAATTTACCCAGGCCTGATGATGACACGAATAAAAGTCGAAACGTCGGTCAAAAAAGGTTTTTTCTCAACTACCTCATTCTTGACCGTTCCTCACGAATCCAACCAATTATAAATCGATACAATTAGATTTAAAAAATAATTACAAAATTATCACAATAAGGTATCTCCAAAGCCCTTGTAAAACTGGACAAACCATTAATCGTTTTGTTTACTAGCAGCGAGAGCATTGAAAATTTTGGTTCTCATATGTACAACATATTTCTTAGACCAACTAGTATAATTATGTCCTGATCCAAAATCATTCCTGGATTGAGTATTGTAAGAATGAATCGCTGAATTAGCAGGTAAAAGGATTTGTAATTTATGTTGTAGTACTCTGAGGAAGGCCAAATATGAAGTCGAAAGTTTGTATATATGTATAATAGTGTACTAATTCAAGGACCACATACCCAATAAATTTTCAAATCCAGAGTGTATCAATGTTGGTCGATAACAAAACATGGTATGTGTGTGTATTTTATATTCATTAATGTAAGGCACACGCGAAAAATTTATATTGAAAATTGGACGTGCTCAAAGTGCTTTGTCGGTTGGTTGCAAAACAATTCTGACTTCAGAGCTTGAGAGGTTGAGGTCATCGAGCCAGAGATCTTTTTTAAAAGATACTTCCTACTTACAGTTAGTTCAAAACTCATAGAACAAAAACTTACTGAGAATTCTATTAACGAATTTGTATTATAAAAAAAACTATACTATCTAATTAGAGTAAATTCAATAATAAATTTTATGAAATGAAAAGGTTATCAATGGGGTCTCCATTATCCCTACTTTGTGTCGAAATATTCGTGGATAATTTTGAAAAAAATGTTTTCAAATCAATTAATTAATTAATTAAATCTGTTATATTATGGGGGTGTTTTATGCATATGGTCGCGAACATTAGACGATCTAAAAGAATTCCTCCAACTAATTAATTCTTTGCGCCGTAATATAAATTTTACGTTGGAAATTAATAAAGATGGTTGTTTAAACTTTTTAGACATAAAACTGTACATATTAAACAGCCTAATTGAAATAGACGTATATAGAAAAGCCACAACTACAGGCACTATGATACCAGCGGATTCTTCTCACCCATGGACCCAAAAAGCTTCTGGTTTCATTTGTCTCATAGATCGTATGTTAAAACTTCGACTAACAAGCGCTAAACATAATAAAGAATTACAAACTATTAAAACCTTATCAAAACCTGTGAGAAGGAATTCTTTTTAAAAATATTGAACAACACACTCCACCTTTATCATTTCTACCAAGAGAGCTTGCGGATGCACTTTTAATATCTTTCTCGCCTTTTTGTCTATTTATTTATTTATTTTTTTTAAATGATAGCCATAGCCTTTTGTAAGAGTAGCGTTGGAATGAAACGTTTTACATTGAAAGAGAAGAAAATAAGTGTAAGGCCGTCGACCGTTCTGCCTATCTTTCGTGTCTCGAGTCCTAACTAGAGGATTTTAAAAAAATCCACTGACCTGTGTTGAGAGTAATCCGAGAGAATGAGGATGCTGAGATTTCCTTCTCTTCAGAGTGGCACAACACAGCGGGAAAGGCGCACAACACAGAGACGGTGGGGCACGGTCGCCACTCGCCGACAACTGGAACCGAGTCCCTCGAGGCAACGGCACTTGGGGCTTCCCCACTCCGCGACGCCGGCCGCTCTCCGGAGCGAGGCCCCCCTCGCCGCCCTCTCTCTTTCTCTCTGCCACGCAGCGCCCGCCCGAGTCGCCTTCCGCTCTCTTCGCCGTGGCTTCGGCCGCTTTTCACCCGACCAGCCTTGGGACCCGGATGCGGGAAAAGCTTCAATCGTATCAAAGCCCTTTCCAACATCCGATGTAAAATTATTTTCCAGTCTTCGTCTTTAGGAATTTGCATGAAATCTACATAATAAATTCAAAATATCTCGCAGCAAGAGGCATAGAATTAAAGAAAATTAAATTTAAAAGAACTTCAAAATATTTGATATATCAGATCATTTGTTGACAGCGAGGGAAGTAATAAAATGGAAATTATAAAAACCTATTAAACAATCAAATATATGGAATCTCATGTCATATTTGTGATTGCGAATTTTTTTTTCATTCCAACCCTACTCATATAAAAGGCTATCATAAAAAAATAAACAAAAAGAAAAATATTAAAAGTTGATCCGTTTAAGCAAGCTCTCTTGTTCGATGACCTCAACTTCTCAAGCTCTGAAATCAGAATATTTTCGTAACCAACGGACAAAGTACTTTGAGGATGTCTAATTTTCAATATAAATTTTTCGCGTAAATAACATCAAAATTACTCAGTGAATGCATCCAAAATTTCCAAAACGGAAACAACGACCTGATGATATGTCAGGGCCCAGAGGAATTTAGGGTAACGAAAAAACAGACACTCTGGCCAGAGTAGGATCTGCAAGACTAGGCCCCGAACGTATGCTTGGGATAACAAAAACAAATACAGAATCCTCCATCGAAGAATGGATCCAAACAAAACAAAAAAAGTGGATAAACTTTAGTGGCGTTAAAGACAGTCAACTTATGATGAAACAACTCTCACCATGGCCGGCAAACTCACTGCTGAAAATGGACAGGTCTAGACTCAGAGGAGTGATAGGGCTATTAACCTGTCACTGTCATCTGAGAAAACATCTGCACAACATGGGAATATATAGCGATGAGCCCATCTGCAGATTATGTGATGAGGACGAGGAAACAGCCACCCATGTCATCTTCGAATGTGAAGTATATTTAACCTAACATACGAAAAAAATCTAAGAAATGAATTTGTAGCGGTGACTTGGAATAGAACGAAGAAAATGAACATGAAGAAATAATTTTTTAGAGATTGTGAGATGCGGTCTAGTGTGATGCAGGTTTAGAAAAACCTTTTCTTTATAGTAGCAACATTTCTTTATTGTGATAACCATTATCCTTTTTTTCCATTGTCAACCATGACTGAGTGCAAATGCTTTGATGAAATCTAATACTGTATTATTTACATCATTGTATAAATTCATTTTCACATCTTACGTGTATTTGTATATATATATTTTGTGTAAACAATGTTTATAAATCCCAGGCCCTGAAGAAGATCTCTCTAAATAATCGTTAATCAACGGTCACTAAATACTACACATAGAAGAAATAGTTGACTGAAGGAAAAAATGCTTGTATTTAAGATTAGAAACGATGCCAAATAACAAGAGACGAAATGGAGACAACAGAGAAAATAATTGAAAGAATTTGGCGTCCTATTGAGTCCCACTAAAGGGAAGATAAGGGGTAGACAAAAGAGAAAAAAAGGCTGTAATGCCAGAAGAATTTTATGGTGGTTCAAGTGATGATGACAAGATGAGAACAATCAGGCTCATTCCGAGTTTAAATTGTTGCAAGCTGTCCTTTAACTGAAGTTTTTATATCAATCTTTCCTTGTTCTGTTCCTCCTATTTGAATTCAAAGCCCTCATCTGTGGATCCTCTTTTTGACTACTTAATATTGGTTCAATATGATTACCTAAGAAACTGCTCAAAAATGAATAGGGATCTTAAAGAATAAGAATTCTATTAATTTTAATTAAATTAACCGATATATTCTTGTTAGGTAAAAAAATAGAAAATACTAAACTAAAGCAAGCTTAAGAATAGTTAAAATGAGGATTACTTACTTTGTAAATAAAAACCTTTTCTCCTCTTTTTTCCATTTTAATCCAGTTGTATTCTTTTTAACCATGGAAAGACATCATCATGAACCAGAAGTTGTGTATTATTGTGAGAATGAGTTATCGAGGATATCGCAGAGGCAGTTGGTACTTCTCAGAGCTCGGTCCTAGGCTTTAGCCTGATTCCGAGATACTGGAAGTGCCAATAGGAGGCCTGGTAGAGGATCTCAGCTCATTACGACATCAAGGGAGGACAGAAATATTGTCATTGCTACAAGACAGAACACTATCCATAGTGTCCGCCAGATCCTAAATGAAGTATAAGATTTTTGGCAACGCCTTTATCAATCAGTACGAACCATTTGTGGGAAGTTGGCCTCACATCGTATGCCCTTTGAGACGACCTGCAGCAACACCCCGCCACCAGCAGCTCAGGAGTGTGCAGCGAGCGCCTAGAAGAGAACACCAATTGGAATGCTGTTATGATAACTGATTAGTCGCATTTCTGTCTGTATAGTGATAGCAGATGCCAAAGAGTGTCCCAGGAACAGGGGATGCTTACTAACTATGCCCTCATCCGTGCTCCTTTCAATGCAGTTTGGAGGTGCACAGATTAGCTAAGAGAGGACATTATACACGGTATTAATTCAAATGGGATGCAAGTTTAGGGGATCTTATTGTGCTTAAGGAAGATGTTAAGCACAATAAGATCCCCTAAACTTGTATCCCATTTGAATTAGTTTAATGGCCGTGGTCCGCCGGTATGGGGTCTCCCTTAGGTACGGTGGGGAGGTGGATGGGAAAAAAAACATAGTTTAATTGTTTAAAAAAATTATTGTGTCCAATAAGAAAAATTATGGAATTAAAACGTTCCCTCCCTGTAAATCTAAATTTTGTAGTGTTCGACTTTCATTCCTCGAATCCAGTTGGGAAGTAATGTAATTATACATGTGTATATCGTATTTATTATAAAAATTTTAAGTCTTGTCTTAAGGTATGCAGCAAGCAAAATTTTTCTCCTCATCCACTAATTTCTGTAAAATGTAGCAAATGCCCCTTCTGTCACTCTCTTGTTCCATGCTTCATGCCCCACTTCGGTCTTCTCACTTGTGGTTCCTCTTCTTCACCCAAAATCAGTGCAACAATTAAAAGTTCATCATCTGAAAACATTATCATTTTTGCCCACTCATGTCCATTGCAAGGCACAGATGAAACGAACCAGTAAACAAGGAAATATGCAAAATTATTGTAGGCTATGCTCTAATGCTAGTTGCAACAAGTATTTATTCATAATAAATATCACTAATTCAAATATGTAGGTGTCTTACTCAGCCCACTTTTATTTTCTGTCTTTATTAATGACCAGGAAGATGAATTAGACAGAGGAGGTATTTGGATGGGTCAGATCAAGATAAAGGCTTTGCCATTTGCAGGGGTAGTGATGACAATTTCCTTAGAAAATATGTAAAGTCTGAGGAATCTTTGGCTGAACCTAGAAAAATCTTGGATAATAATTTGCATGAAAGGGAGAATGTCGAAAAAAGAAAGATGGTTTTAACAAGTACAATGCAACAAAATGCTACAAGAATACAAATATCTAGGAATATTGCATTGTTCAAGTCTTTCTACGGAGAAACACTTCAAAGAGGTAATCGCTAAGCTTAAACTAGGTATGAATATGATATGGTCCATCTTTGAAATGAAAAGATTATTTTTTAGTGTTGAAATTCAATTGAATCTTTTACAAAAGGTGTCATTTGCTATGGGTCTCAAGCTTGGGGAGGAATTAAAAGTGATAAGGTAGAAGTGTTACTTAAATTTGTTGTTAAAAAATTATTCAGTCTCCCAGTCTGGTCATCTATTGCTTTCCTGTACACTGAAAAATCAATTATTTGGTTAAAGTGGCAAAAACAGAAGATTTCAGATTAGGTTGATAAACAACTATTATGAGAGTATGTATTATTACTATTATATTATTAATAAGTAGAAAAATGGATACAATAGATGATTAAGAAAACGAAGTTCATAAATATTAGTCCACTGAGGACTGAAGATAAAATTCTCCTTTTTCCCTCTAACATTGGTAACTACCACAAATACGCCAGATTAGATAAGTTATTTATAAACAAATTATTCCCACTGGCTTGTTGATTTTGTTGCATAGTTCCCCATATAGTAAGGTATTTGAATCGTACATACATCTAGGTCACAGATATCTGCAGGTCTCAGCTGTGTTCAAGGTCTTATGTATGCCATTATATACATGCCTAGGTACAAGTTTAATAATGTTTAGTGAATTAGTTAAATAGATATTCCCACTAAGAAAATTAACTGGTAGTTTGGTTTACTCAGTCTCTCATGATAGACCAAAATGTTGGTATAATAGGAGACGTCAAAATTCAATATTGGAACATTAATCCATTTATGTTTAGCAGTCTGATTGTCCAAATTATTTATTTCAATGAATTATTCTTTTTATGTAAGGTCTTGGTTGAGATGAAAAAATTACTCTCACGAGCGGGATCGAGGTCATGGGTTCAGATCCTGCTCTTGAGAGTAACTTTTTCATCTCAACCAAGACCTTACATAAAAAGAATAACTCATTGAAATAAGTAATTTGGACAATTAGACTGATAAACATAAATGGATTAATATTTATTAAGTAAAGAAGTGTCGCTTCAAAAACAGCTCCCCCTCATAAGTCACTGAAAATCAAACCCTGATTACACGACATTTGAAAAATGGCGAAAAGAGGGCAAATTCGCAAGGTTGTAGGTTGAGATGGGAAGTTGGTGTCTGAGTGGATCGAAGTCACAATAGCTCAAAGTGGTAGAGCAGCAGCGTATTTAGCTGAAGGTCGTGAGTTCAAATCCCGCTCGTGGCACTAGCTTTTTCATCTCAACCAAAACCTTACACAAAATTAATTAATTGTATGAAATATTGAACTTTATCCACCATTTAGTATTTTCACACCTTCATGCCTGGTTGTTATCCAATATTCCATTTCACAATACATTAATTGTTTAATTTTGTACCATTACAATTAAGACCTTTACTTTTATTTTCATTTATAATTATGTACTAAAATAGTTTGGTTGGATTTGTTTTGAGGATAATTAATAACTACTGACGTAAAAACAGCATGTTATATTTGTCACTATTTATACTTTTCATAAATAAATAACAATAATAAAATGTTCTATTTAACATCTTAATATGGTCGATTTTAATATGCTATTATTAGGCTAAATAAATTATGTTGAGTTTAATAGTACATCACATGACATGGTAATTCATGAGGGCCATCGAAAGCACATCTATATGTCTAAGGTTTCATAAAATATTTGACATTTGAAATTAAAATATATTATCTATTAATGCTTTGTTTTCCCTGTTTCGAAAAACTCATTTTTCCAATGCTGATATGTTTTTTTCATAATGGAAAAAGAAATATGTATGGTAAAACTATACCTCGAGCTCTTACCCTGTACTCCGTTTGAAAATAATTTCTTTTTCTTTTTATGTTATAATTTGAATGTAAAGATTTGGCAAGGTTTTAAGTTAACATTTAGAACAAATACCGACTGTAATTACAAGCAGGCACTTGGGGCAAATAGGCAAGATTAACACTAATTATATTGTATTTCTCTGTCGTGAATCAGTTTACTTCTAATCTTGATAATATGTAGTCAAACTCAATCTTTTGGATAATATTATGGACCTATACTAACTAAAATAAAGATATGAACATCTTTTTGTTTACCTTTTTTAACTTCCAATATGCCATTTTTCGTATACACCAACATTAAGAAATTTATGTCTATCAAATCCCTTTGTACTAATCTGATATCAATGGTTTTAAGAACATATAAGTAATATGTTTTACAGTCTTTGTCACATACAGAGACAGTTTAAATGTATTTTTAATAGATGTTTTAAACACAGTATCACTCGAGTTTCCTACAAATAATACTAAAGACATTTGAATTAATTAACCATACATAACATGTTTAAATTGAATTGAAAGTAAAATTAAATTAATAAAATAGTAAGGGTTGTCTTTTTATACTTGTATAATATTGACAACCGAACACCTCCAATATTACATAAGACAACAAACAAATATTAAAATTATCTTTGGATTTCATTTATTTATAGTTTGGTAATTAATAACATATTTTAAAGCAATGATTATCTTTTTGGTTATCCAAAACTCAACCAAATGCCCTATTTATTTTAAATACTAACTCCAACTTTTTTGTGATTCCTTTAGCAAATTATCTACTTAATCGCTAATTACCTTATAATTACCGTAAGCTTTACATTATAAAAACTTAGAGACATTTGTCTTAACCCTATTCTTCATTTACAGTGATTACTTTTTTTCTCCTTAAATTGGTCAGGCTATTGTCTTTTTATACAAGCGTGAATTTTCATTCTAATGGCAGTATTTCCTTCCTCATACTACTTGCTAACTAAAATAAGCCTAGATATTTTTTTCTTCTTTGTTTAATTACATCAAAACATAGAAACTAAACAAACTAATACCCTATACTATTCTCTCTTCTTTTTTAAAAGTTAAAATACATATATATGAATTTTCCCTTCACATTCATATTTATCATTTAATCAAAACTCCATTAACAGTAATAATTTTATTCCTTGTATCATGGCTAATAAAATAAGTGTAATAAAATTCACTGAGTAATTGGTCTTTCATCAATACGATTTTTTGTCCTTATTAATGTATTAGTTGCTTCAATAAATAAATAAAAAATAATTCAATATTATTTATATCAAATCCGTTTTATTTTGTCACCAAATAAATTCTTTCAATTAATTAATATTTTTATGAAAGGTATTGGTTGAAATGAAAAAAGTCAGTGTCACCAGTAGGATTCGAACTCATGACCTTCGGCTAAAAATGCCGCTGCTCTAATCACGTGAGCTATCGTGACTTTGATCCACTCGGACACAAACTCCCCATCTCAACTGGAAAAATGGCCAAAAGGAGGGAAAATAGAAAAGGTGGGTTGAGATGGGGAGTTGGTCTCCGAGTGGATTGAAGTCACGATAGTTCAAGTGGTTAGAGCAGCGACGTATTGAGCTAAAGGCCGTGGGTTCAAATCCTGCTCGTGACACTGACTTTTTCATTTCAACCAATACCTTTCATAAAAAGATTTATTAATTAATTATATCATCCAACTAATTCATATATATAATTAAAAAATACAAAGAAAAATAGCATAGGCACAGATTTACTTGTAAAACACAAAAGAAATAAGTGCACTGGTCAGAAATCTGGGACAATTAAAATACATCAAAGAAATAATTAAGTAATCTGTGACTATATAAACTATCACACCAATTTCTTTCTCCCCGAGTATAAAAAACCACCTTATTTAATTGCTTTAAAATCAAATTATATAAAACATATTGAAAGCATAGTTGAATAATGTCAATAAATCATTTTATCAAAGAAAATTTCTATCTTCTAAAAGTGGTATTCTATTCTACCCAACATTTTGTCAATTGTTATAAAAAATAACCTCAATACTGTAATTACCTTTATTTAAAGGGAAAGACAGAACAGTTTTAACAAAACATGCGTGAAACAGTTTCCTTTTTTAAACATTCAATGTTGAATATTTAAACAATTCCCAATTTTATATTAATTAACATATCTTGATTGCTGTCAGAAATTGAAAAACTCCGAACTAAAGAATAACGTAGGAAGTTACTCGAAGTAGTTCCGAGCCCACATTTGGCTCAATAATGGGAAGTTCAGGTGAGTCCTGTTGAGGTGATTGTCAGCTATCATCATCCTTGTTATTAGTTAGTGTGTTCCACAGTGGGCTCCTTGGGACATTCCTCGGCTCCGTCTGTACCGAAACAGACACTGACAGTCTATGCTAGCTGCTCGACTGCTCAATCTGGCAACTGCTATCTGGTTCTGAACGTTCTTCAACGACTGTATCGAGCTCGAGAGAAGGGAACCCTCTGGAAAGTGCTCTCTCGCTTCTCAATGATACAGCCCTTGGTCTTCCACTGGTTGCACTCGGTCCTGCTAAATACACTCCTAAAAAAGAAATATAAATCAATAAAGAATGTCAAAATGTATACTTTTGACAAAATAAATTTTTATTTGAAACTGTGAAAATCTACTGGGTATAAGATTGATCCGTTAGGCTTTATGGAAGGTTCGGAATATTACAGTATATGGAAAGGAAGCAGAGTTGAAGCACCAACACATCCTGAATATGAATTACCCGGACAAGAATAATTAAAAAGTACATATTTTATGTTCATCCAATTATAATAAATATGCCAGAATAATTAGCTTATGTTTAAGTAGCACTTACTGGGCCTGTCTACACTCGTTGGTTTTGATGTCACTCAAATGCGTTTTAGCTTTGAGCCATCTTCAGTTCCTCAATGAACATTGAACCTAACGAATGTAGATGGGCCCAGTGTCAGTTCAATGTGGGATCACTGACTAGCACCCAAATCCTCCATCAACGTCCGTTAGCATATTTGCAAGACATACGTACTTTTATGTATAAACCACCTAACATGACATACTTGACTTTAATGTTTTCATAACGAAATTATATTGCTATACATTTTCTAAATCATGCTCAGGTCTAATCTATTTTTTATAAGGTATCTAATATTATACAACTTAAATAATTGAGGTTTTAGAAGAATGTATATTTGTATCACATCGTGTATAAGTATAAAAGTTTGTTAAAATAGAGGACATTTACCAAGTTTGTGCATAGGACTAAATCTCGCTAAGGATATCGCTCCTGTTTCCGTCTCACAGTTTCTAGAACAAGAAAAACTTTTTCAAAAAAGAAAAAAAAAAGCTTTTATGTATAGATTGAATAATCATACATTTTTTAAAATAAGTTTAGGTCTGAAAATGAAGGAAATAAGACCTTTGGAAAATTTAATTATGATGTATAGTAGACAGATGTTTTTAATCACCCTGAATAATCCAGCAAGAAATGAAAAACTGTAATATTCATTTACTTAGATTTGTTATGTATTCTGTCATTTCTTTAACTTTATTTCTGATTTTTTTATTTAATCAATCCCTCCCTCCACACATCCATTAATACAACAATAATACATAATTCTATTTAAAATAAACAAGTAAAATTTATCTACAAGTAATAAATATAATTATAAGAAATGTAATTTTATACATGAAAGTATTTCAGACTTTTGAACATAGACATTGTTTTATTTGCTCCCTCTCCTACTGCCCATAAGAACAATAAAAATCATAAAAAATAATAAAAAAACGAATAAAATAAGTTTAATTACTAAATTATAAATGAAAGTAATGATGAGGGTTATTTTTACCCTTTAGGGGATAGTGGGAGTTTTCTCATGCCAGAGTGTTAAATAACTTCAAATTTTAAATAAAAATAAGTCTAAGCACATCCATACAAACATTTAGTATTTCTGATAAATATTATATCAAATAAATAGATAAATTTGACTATAGCGGATTATTCAATTCCAACAAGTATTTATTACTATTTCAAATAGAGAAAAATGTGATACCCTGCTCGTCTTCTATCTCTTTCCCTTGCTAGTTTTGCCCTCCTTCGCAAGCAGCATATTACCAAAAGTGCAAGAAGAGGAAAGCCTAGTATGCAGGACACAATCGGGATAACGATTGTCTCTGGAGCAACTGAAAAATAGAGTAATTAAGAATTAACATCAAAAACAGAAATAATACAGTTTGACTATAAACCGGGGTATACTCATGAAAAACCTCAGTATTCAAGAATTTCTTTTACAATATTAAATTTATTTTATTATTAATTGCTATCTGTACAAAAATATTCACTGATTTGTTGAAGTCGTGTGAAGCGGTCAGGAATTTTAGAAAAACACCTTTTACATTTTTCCCTGATGAAATGCCTGGTTCAAAATTTATTTTATTGATAACTGTATTATATTTTTCAAATCAATACGTGTTTTGTAATTCACCCAGACCCCGAACATGACCCGGATAAAAGCTGAAACGTCGTCAAAAAAATGGAAAAGTTTTTTCTTTCTAAAATGCCTCATTCCTGACCACTACTCACGACTTCAAAAAATTATAGAACAGCCGGTTGCTGCAAAACACGCGCTTTACATTGAGCAAATTGTACAGTTAACAAATCTAACCGATCTATCAGACCAGGAGGCAGTGGGGAGAAAAACCAGCCATTTTATTTAATTGGTGGAGTTAAGATAAAAGGTCACGAGGCCATCGTCGTTTTAAGCGGTCTGAAGGGTTGTAAGGGGTGGAAGAGGGCTAGTGGGTTAGGTTTGAAGGATAGTTTAGAATGGAAATTGAGGAAGCGTGTTCGGATAAGATCTTTCACGAAAGGGATTTTATGATCTTTATGGATCATTTCATCGATGACGTAGAAGGGAGCATACGGCGGAGAACTTTAGATAGAAAGGAATGAATTCTTTGGTTGTGGCCGAGCCCCACAGTTAGACCGTAAGTCCAAATAGGTCTGGAGTTTTTTTTTTTGTAAATGATTAATTTGTCTGGAGACTGAGTAGTCCATATCTTTTGTTAAGTTCTTGTCGTTTTAATCTTGTTTTAGGGTTCTACGTAAGTCTGCTACCTAAGTAAAGCCCAAGTAGCGGATTTGGTCCGATGATGTTTTTTTTTTACGAGGGTTCGCAACAGCAGAGGTCATATCAACCCTCAGGATGACGTTGTTTTTGAAAAAAGCCCATTTGTAAGAATGTCGGGTTCATACGGGGCCGCTGGATTCGAACCCGGGAAGTGTTTGCCTAAGCCGTTGCGACCACCGACGCCTCTTTTTGATATTTTAGCGGACTTGGTTCGAAGGTGGTATTATCTTGTTGTTAATGTGCACTAATGAGCAGGTTAAAAAACTTGGCTTATCGGATGGCTTGGCAGTACCCCACAGTTCCAATTTGTATGTCCATATTGGTCTTAGTAAAGTCTTTTATAGCATTCAATTAATTAAGGTTTTTAAGTTGAGATAAAAAAGTCAGTGTCACGAGCGGGATTCGAACCCACGACCTTCGGCTTGATACGCCGCTACTCTACCCCTTGAGCTATCGTGACTTCGATCCCCTCGGGCACCAACTTCCCATCTCAACCTCACCTTTTGAATTTTCCCTACTTTTTGCCATTTTAACTCAACTTAAAAACCTTAATTAATTGAATGTTATTAATTGGTCAAGCGGACCACGAAAAATAGTGAAGTCTTGTATAGCATGAGCTTTCTCTTAGTTGTCAAAATCGATTTCTGCCTTAGAAGTCTTTGAAGTAGTCTTAGAATTAAGTTTTTGTTTTTTAAGTCTTGTGTGGGGATTGTCAGTCTGCTGTCTAGATGTAGTCCCAGGTATTTGACTTGAGTGGAAGCTGATATCCCTTTGTTGTCATGTAATATAAGTTCGTATTAAGCACAAATATCTCTAAATATAAATAAAACTTTTGAACCACTTGAACTTTTTACTTTTGTTCCACCCCGCACTCAAACTGGCTCCCTACAAAGTTTTAAAGTCCTGTGGTTCTCGTGAAAGTGGGATGGTTTTTAATCTCCGCGGCTTTATCCGCTTTATCGCCATAGAGGATTTTTCGTTAGTTTTCTTTCTGAGTGAGTCACACATTTGGCAATTCCATCTTTGTCCTATTTTAATGGAGAAGCCCCCCCCCCCAAAAAAAAAGACGTGCCAACCTCACAGATGTGACGGAAATTCCTGTCGGAAGAGCTCATTTTTGCCTGCAAACACAACTTTTATTAATTAACAAATTAATTCCCAACGGCTTAACAGTAGCGAGTCTTCTTAAGGCTATTTTTCGAAATGCTCTGCCCGTTTTAACGGAGAAACGGACGTTGACGCCTTTATAGTCACTATAGAGACATATAAAGACTGCAATAATGCTACAGATTAAAACGCTCTGCCAGTTCAGTCCATGCTATTGTAGGGTAAAACTGCAACGTGGTGTTAAAAAGTAAAAAAAAGCTCACCAGCTAATAATAGTAGAAGACTTGCTGAAAGAGACAATGAGTCGACTGAGCTTTCCATTTCTCATCTCCGTGCACTTATTGCCAAATTGCCTGACGAACTAGATGTTGAAGCCTATCTAGACATTACGACTTGATCTAAGTTCTCAAGAGAGGACATCGCAGCACCTTTTCCAATTTCAAAGCGCTCTTAGAAAATATGCCACGACTGCGAACAAGCCACTAAAGTACTTAAACAATCCACTCCTGTAAAAGAGTATGAAAAGACCTCATAAGCCTCAAAAATAAATTACGCCCTCGATGTGTGCAAAAAATTTGGAGATCTGAGGGAAGACACAGCGAAAAGGAAAAAGTGAGAAAAAGTAACCAGAAGCACCACCGCCTAAGCAATCTACATTTTCAGGCAAAATAATCAGCTATGGCTGCGGTGCCCCATTCGAGCCAAGTGTCCCACTTGCACCAGCCAAAGGCCAAGCACCTGAAAACTATTTTTTCCAGATTTCCCATGAAAATTTTCCAGGACACTTGACATTTTCATCCATTTGTTGCCGATAAGTGTAATCAATGTTAATGGGGCAGGTTTTAAGACGGGCGAACGGCGTTATCTCCCCAGACGGATTCGGGGGGAATATGAGGATGGCCCTATCTCCCAAGACACGAGATCGGATTCGACATTAGCTCCCCGAGCGAAAGAAGGAATTTGTATTGTTGAGTGTGATACCGATGCCATATATGCATCATATTCCATCCCTAACCACCCCATGGTATGGTGCAAAAAGGATACTAGGAAGCGGGGTTTGTGCTCCCCAGGCAATGCAGCCTTCTGGCTTTGAACCTTCCTAGTTCCTTAGTTCAGTGCAATAGACTCAATCCTTCTCCTTAGAAGTATCAGATCATTGACTGTCGCTGCTGCAATTTGATTTCCTAAGTTTTTTCCGTACATTAGGGTAAACTCCATTGAGCTGTTTCTTCGCATTCGACGATCATATGGGTGGCTGTTTCCTCCTCCTCATTGCATAATCTCCAGATGGGATCATCGTTGTTTATGCCCATTTTGTGCAGATGTTTTCTCAGATGCCAGCGACCGGTTAGTAGTCCTACAACTCCTCTTTGTTTCGCCCTCTCCAATTGCAGCAATGATTCTGCCAGTCTTGGTGATGGTTGTTTCCTAACCACCTCAAACCAGATTTTAACCTCTCTGGCTAATAGCCTCTACCAAAAATAAGAAAGACAGTTGGGATTAATGTAGCCTCAAAATAAACGAAAAACATAAAAATATTTACAGTCATAGAACACAAAATCAAAAACAAAAATAATAAAATACACAAAACGAAAAACTCATAAGCACTTCTTGTATTCCTAACACTAAACCCCGACAGAATTATTAAAACAAAACTTCAAAAAGACAAATAAACCAAATACCAAGAAAAAACATCACCACCTAAAGAATAAGCTAATGCGCCAAAATAACTTAAAAACCAGACCCTAAAAAACTCCCAAAACAAATAAAAGTAAAATAAAATTTATCACCTCCCAATAAAGACCCAACACACAAACAGGAATCAAAAAAATCAAAGCAAAAACCATTATCATCCTAATATAGATATAGACATCAAATTATCATTCCCATGACAATCAATCTCACCAAAAGTGAAAGACCTAAATCCCCTCACTGACCGAAAAGCATAAAAAGATTATAATACAATATCAAGTACTATATATCTTTAATTTTTGAACAACCGTGATCTTTTTGAAATTTTCACTCGTTTCACCGCTTCACTTTACTAATTATATATTTCATTAAATTTCGTTAATTATATATTTTGGCGTTTTGTTATATTTAGTATTATTGGTATTTGAGAGCTTTACTCCTTTTTACGCCGGGGAGTTACTGATCCACTGGTCACTTTTGCTTGGGGAGCTACTTTCGAAAATATATAGCTTCGGGGAGATAAGTTCATTTTGCCTAATGTTCTGGAATTTAGAAAACAACTGAAATGTATACCAATATGCGACACACGAATACTTTGGACATTCTCCTCGGGAAGATAACGTCGAATCTCCTTTGGAGGCAGAGAAGCATCGCTGGTTGAAAGACAATGGACCTAGTTTTTCCCAGGCAAAGGTTTTCGGTGTTGAATTCACACACTTTGTTAAACTTACTCAGAAATCACTGTTTTTTTGTAAAGACCCAAAAAATGCTTTGAGTTTATGAACTTAGTGTTCCTTCGTCACTTCAGACCTTGGAGTTCTCGCTTCGAGTTATATTATGTTCGAGATAAATAATTGCCTCCATACAATAACTATTACCAAAAGGACATATCAACACAATCCAATTGAGCTTACTTAGATAAGTAAAAATAATATAAGGATAAGCTCAAGTCGTTATAAAAGTTACAGAAATATAGGGAAAACAAAAATCTGATTAACTCACGGTAGGTCAAATATTTGTTATTTCTCCTATACTGGCGTCGATTAGTTTATCTATTAGCATAAAATAATTGAAAGATTTTAATTGTACTAGATGTGCGTGTATGGTAAGAAATGGTCTTGATGATAAATAAATTGGGAGTTTTTTTTTAGTCGGTGTGGAAGAATAATGTCTGGTATCAATGTCCCCCGCGTTATTTGCTCTGGTTCGTTTTTGTCACTCTTCCACCTAAGGGTTTTGGAAAATACACTTTAT